CTGCAGCAATGCTCGGGAATATCATATATCAATATCATATCGGTTAATTCAACCCACCAGTTAAACCGACACACCTGCCCTTGAGGACCGCCCCTGTGGAGTTTGGATAAAGTGAACACGGGATATCAGAAATTGTATTCTCCGTTTACTGCAGAAAGTAGGGACTTATTTTAATTAAAAAATACATAATCTCTCAATATTGTCTGGATTTAAGGACTGGTGCTTGTCCTAACATCAGCATAAAATAAAGCCAGTGGTAACATCAAAATTAAAAAACGGAATGAAACCCTGAGGAACCCAATGGGTTGAAATTGGAGAGATGGATGGGTGCCAGCCTTTTGTCTCTGTAAATGCATATATGTGTGTTGAACCAGGTGGGCTGGATCCTGTCTTGTCTTGATGAACTGGCATTACACCCTCAACCTCCTGTTGCTGTGTTACCACTTGGGACAGGCAATGACCTCGCCAGGACCCTCAACTGGGGAGGGGTGGGTACAAACATACCCACACACAAATAAACTGTATGAGTAAATACCGATAGTTATGTTACCTGCTGTCGGAAATCTGAGCTACTGCTGGCTTCAACATTCAGTGAGCCCTTGTCTGCTGTATTGAAGCTATTGCATCTTAAGTGATTTTTTCACTATTCAAGTTTTATATTAACTTGCTTATATTTGTATCTAAATGTTTTATGTAACTCTGCATGAACTCCAGGGCTATACAGATGAACCTCTGTCTAAGATCCTGTCCCATGTTGAAGATGGAACTGTTGTCCAGCTAGACAGATGGAATCTACAGGTTGAACCAAACCCCAATGCAGGTGCTGAACCGGATGAACAACAAACTGATAAGGTCAGTGCATTTACATGGAGCTAACCACTGTGAAAAAGGAATTCATATAATCTCCATCATTAACCTCTCAAACTAAATGTAAAAGTTGACTCATAATTATGGTCTCAGATGGTCTCCATATTAATTAATGCGCACAGAAGAATTAAAAAATGTATTATGTGATTGATATATAAATGACTCTTTCCACAAAAACCTTTCAAGTTTCAATGTGCGGATGTAATGCCATCTAATCACATTAAATCATACCCTCAAATCTATGCTTGTGTGATTGACTGAAATGGAAGGAGACATCTGATAGGCTGCAGATGATTACATCACTGGTGTGTTTTCATGTTTTGTCTGTATGCTTTCAGCTTCCTCTAGATGTTTTCAACAATTACTTCAGTCTTGGATTTGATGCCCATGTGACTCTCGAGTTCCACGAGTCAAGAGGTACATTTATATTTATTATCACAATAATGAAAAACAAATGTTATTGGTATTGACTGCAAACATACTATGTGAAAAGCTCCTTAATATTATTCACATTAATAAAACTTTGCTTTTTGATTTAATTTTTTATATGTATATGTTTTGTTGATTTACTGTCTATCTGTGTGTCTGTCATTGTTTTAGAGGCCAACCCAGAGAAGTTTAACAGTCGTTTTAGGAATAAGATGTTCTATGCTGGGGTGAGTGCACCTCCATGTGTCTTTGTCTGTTTGTTTGCTATCCAACCCACAATCAGACAAGAAGCATCATCATTTACATCTAGTACACAGATGTAATGTGCTGTATTTAACCTGGCTGAATAACAGGAAACTGTATATGTAGTGAAGGCTAAGAGTTTCCTCCAAAGTTGTGCTCAAGACAGATAATGTACAGATAATGTTTATCACAGAAGCTAACGCAATGCATCATAGGATCAATGGAAAAAAACGATAACTGTGCATGAGTAGCCCTGTTACAGTAATTACGTTATCACCTCATTGTACAATATATACAATATGTAATTATTGCCTGTCACAAGAATATCTCCATCTTTAGCCTTCCCCCTATGCTAAAATGTATTTGTAAGTAAGTGCAATTTTTATGAACAGAGCCTGAGAGATTGTATTTATTGTTGGTTGTTTAGTTTTATTTATGTTCTACTTATTTAGGATATTTTATTATTTATGTGTGTTTATGTGTGAATCTGTGTCTGTCTGTGTGTGTGTCTCTCATACAGACAGCATTCTCAGATTTCCTGATGGGAAGCTCCAAAGACCTGTCTAAGCACATCAAAGTGGTGGTGAGTAGTTGTCAATCAAGCAGTCAGTCATTTGTGTGTAAACACTGAGTCACTCCATCTCTTTCTCTCTCTCTATTGGTCTTTCTCTCTTTCTCTCTTTCTCTCTCCCTCTCTGTCTCTGCCTCCAGTGTGACGGGACAGATTTAACATCAAAGGTTCAGGACTTGAAGCTGCAGTGTCTGGTCTTCCTCAATATCCCCAGGTGACATTACTGCTACTGTTGTTACTGATACTACCTTCTACCATGTCTACTGCTCAGGGGTAGAAGAAGTACTTAAATATTTTACTTAAGTAAAAGTTGCAGTACCACAGTGTGTAAATACTCTGTTAGTAAATGTCTGGTATTCAGAAGTTGACTTGACCCCTAGGTTCAGAGGGTCGTGATATACAAAATAGGCCTATATCTCAAAATAAGTTAAAAAAATTAAATAAAAATGCAAAGGAAATTGTTAAGGAAATTGTCTAATAGAACAATTGCCAAGCTAAAACACTAAATTGTCAAAAAAGAAGCCTAGTAATTTTGTATGATTGTTAAAATGACCACAAAATAAAACATATTACAGACAGAGAATTGTATAAAAAGGAAAAGGAAATATTCTACACAAACTGTTCACTATTTGTGTTCATTGTACAGTTTTGAATATAATTTTCTGAACCACTTATTTTGGAGGATCTGACAGAAATTGAATATTATATTCAAAGGAATGTTTTTAGTGTATAATCACCTGAAAATAAGAATCATTGTGTTTTCGTTACCTTAGAATGAGACGTTTTCATCTACAGGGGGAGTAGGTCCTCCTCTACCGAGGCCATCATGTTGAACCACCATGTTTCTATAGTAGTCCAGAACAGACAAACCAAACACTGGCTCTAGATAGGGTCTTTTGGCACCGTTGTCCTACACGTTTAGTAGGAAATTGGTTCACTCTGCAACTACACTGCTAGATGCCACTAAATCCTACACACTGGTCTTTTAATGTGTTCACTTTAATGTTGCAGCTGATAAAAGTGGAGCTAATTCTAATTACTTTATAAACTGACAGGTAACTTGAATTAATAATAATAATAAATAAGAACAATTATTTTTTCTTAACCTGAAATTGTACTTTGTCTAATTTCTGTCCAATGATACAATATCCAGTAATAAAACAGCACAATTATTTGTACTGTATATTTTAAATATAAGAGCACATTACAACCTCCAACATGGTGGAAAATCCCAGTGTATGACCCTCAGGTCAGTTGAGTGAAAGTGCAGGACTGAAACCTTCGGTGGGCTGCTTTTAGCTTTTTGCTCCGAGCGACTAGAACTGTCTGCCTGAGGATCTTAGAGTCGTGCTTGTATAACAGGTCCCCAGTTTAGTGTCAAGTGAACAATAATGCCTATAACAGCTATAATTAACAGGCATGCTGCTTTATCAAAAGTCAAACTTCAAAATAGAAATAGAAGATTGGTCAAAGTATAGCACTATTAAATATCAGCTGATCAGAATATGGACTAACAAATCACAGTTTAAACCTGTTCAATCTAACCACTGAGTAGACTGCAGAGGGCCCAAAGGAACATGTTCCAAAAATATGTTGCACGGTTGTGATTCAGTTATGATCTAGGGTCAGTGGAGTGGAAAACAAATTCAAAATGGAAGGTATTTTGGGCAGGTGTGGTGGTTACAATAGTATTCTCCCCTGTCAAGCAGCACTGTGAGGACATTGACTAAATGAAAGGTTTTAATAATTTCATTATCCTTCTTTTGTGGCAAAAACTTTTAATTTCAAATGTAAATAATAAATCTGGTCTCTAAATTATACCCTTTTTTATCTCTGCTAAATTTGCCATTATTGAAGGAAAGAAGAAACAATATAACAGATGACCCCAAACGTTTGAGTATGTTTATTAGGAGAATTAGGTGTCTTAGCAGAATCCTTATTGCGCTCTGATTCATTGAGCGTTCCTCAAACAGCAGAGCCTTTTCAGTAGAAACATTTATTATGAATGCCCCGTTTGTTGACGTCTCTGACTTAACGCGCATGGTGTTCTACAGGTATTGTGCAGGCACTACACCTTGGGGAAACCCCAGTGAACATCACGACTTTGAACCTCAGCGCCATGATGATGGATACATTGAGGTCATTGGATTCACTATGACTTCACTGGTATGTAGCTCACTGTGTCCTGGTAGCCATGGTTACAAGCTGAGAGTCTGTTTTACTATTAATATGAAGGTAATCTTACCAGGTTTGTGAAGGATAGTGTCTGTCTATAAGTAATAATAATAAATACTATAAATATACGTCACTTTTATCATTTAAATGTAAAGTATGTCATTTCTGTCGCTAGGGGGTCCCTCACATCAAAACAATAACAAAGTTTGATGATGTTGTGTAGTAGTGTGGGATCATGGGAGTGGTCGTCTTCACCACCATTGCTGATTAAGATTCCTTCGTTCAGGAGGTTTCTACCAGTTCATAAAAATGTAATAATTAAAAGTAATAGCTGGAGTAATGATGAATTGCTAATGGGAATTATGTGCGTGTGTGTAGGCTACTCTCCAGGTCGGAGGTCATGGTGAGAGGTTGAACCAGTGCAGAGAAGTCACCCTCACCACTACCAAACCTCTCCCAGTACAGGTACATACAACACATAACTGTACACCTATACACCTTACTGTACTATTTACTATTTCACTGAACATTCATATTGTTAGAGATGATTCCTATTTATACAATTAGAATATTCTAACACGGTATCCACTGCAGCATGGTATTATTATGAATGATTGGTTGATTTGTATTATTGTTGTTAGGTGGATGGTGAACCATGCAGACTTGCTCCTTCTGTCATCCACATCAGCCTCAGAAACCAGGCAAACATGGTTCAAAAGACCAAACGACGGACCTCACTACCACACCTCAATGAGTAAGTTTCACACACTCACTCACCAACCCAGTCTCATGCCAAAGCTTGCAATAGTCCTGTGGATCCACTAGGGGAATACTATGTCAGTATCACGTTTTTGTCTCATCTAGATGTGAGTACAAAAGTCCACATTTGGAGGAGGTGGGGTGACACATTGAGGACTTTCACTTGCTCTTCGAGCCCCGTGTCCAACCAAAATTCAGCGTTGATTTTATGAAGTACTGTCTTTCTCAAACCTAATCAAACTATGACCTCAGCAAGCTTTATTTTAAAAGTGTAACTGGACATTTATAACTGCCGATGTGACTATGGAATGAGCACCTGGTGAAAACATGACACAGCTTAGGCTAGGCAAAATGTTACACTGCCACTGTGGACCGGTGTGTTTATTACACGCTCTGGTGTGATCAGAATCAGAATCAGAAATACTTTATCGATCCCTGGGGGGAAATTTGTATAGTTGTTCCACTCATACAATGTCTAACACAATATATAGATATATATAATATCTATAATATATAGATGTATACATATAGAAAAAAGTAAAAAATAAAAATGGAAAAAGAAATATAATAAGAACCTAAGAGATATAATAAGATAATAAGAGCCTATATACAAAGTAAATGTAAATCTAAACATAAGTGTA